CCCTCTGTGGGGAAAACAGTCGAGCCTTGAACAATGTGGTCATCCTGTTTCAAGAGGTTTTTCACCACCAGATGCTATTTCTAAGAAAAATGATCCATCACATGTTTGTGGAACGCCAAGCACCACATATAATGACTATATGGACTGGTAAGTCACTTCTTTGAGCCGCACGCTCATGAACGGTAGTTGACCTCTGGAAAGACTTGAGCAGTTTTTAACAGGATTTCTTAAGCTTTTCTGTTCAGGTAGCAAACAAGATTTGCAAGTGCTTCCGACGCTTGATGTCAAGTGCCTGACTTGAAGATTCAGATTGCATTTAGGGAACTTTGTCTTCCCTGTCTGCTTTTCAGCATTTGGAAGTACACCATCAAGTCAATAAGTCCTTATTACAGCATCCACCTCTTTCTCTGATCCCTGCTACATGACACTTTCTTTTGGATGCCTTGTTTTTTGTGGCTGACAGGCTTTTTAGATTGATAACTGTGTATCAGTCTGGTTCCCATGATGCAAGTGTCTGTGGGTTTTAAAAAAAAAGTGTAAGGAATCTAGAGGCTTGCTGAATCGAGCACTGAAGTTAGGAAATGCTAGCATTTGTTTATCCATGCAATCTTAAATTAGGCATAAACTCCTGTGTATGTGTTGATAAATCTTTCTAATTATATGATTACTTACTATTTTCATAAGTCTCTAGGATGAATCATATAGGTCAAGGCTGTATGGTGAGTAAGCACTGTTCCTGTTTGTAGGACCTCTGCCTCTGTAGCTGTAGAATTTAGAATATATGTAGTGAATGAAGCACATCATCTCATGATGGAACTTGATAGAAGTGGTCCTTGAATAGATTCTCGTTTTGCTTCTTTCAAACTTTGATATATGGAAATTTTAAAAACTTAAATTCTCATTATACACAGTATGTACAGCACATAGTAAATATGCAGAATTGTTGAGTGCTTTTGTGTTAAGTAAGAACCATGCTTTTGACTGGTTTTGACTTTTTTTAAGACTTTTGTCATTTTATTGTCTACAAAAAAGTCCTAGGTGTATAAATTCTTTTCTAGTTCTGATCTTAGCATCAATTTCTGTAATACTGTGTGTGGGAGAAAGTATATTTGGTAATATAACTAAATATATGGTAGACACATCAAGGGAACAAATCAAAAATAAATGATTTCTTGCAATCTTTAGTTTTCTTAAATACATGATCTTTCTGCTCATATACATCGTAGCTAAAGCTCTCAAAAAACCTCTCATGATTGCCTTGAAGTTGATTGTCTCAATATGCTCACTTTAAAAAAAGTCTCTCTTCATCTAAAAAGGTTTTGAATAAAGAACAATAAGCTAAGGAAAACTAACTGTGGCTCAGACTATCTTGCTGTCTTATGGTCAGCTCTTCTAGTTATGCGGTGCTTTCATGTTCCAGTTTGTGGGGAGTGCCAGCTAGTATCTGAAGATGGGGATTTAATTATTTTAAGTAATATTTCCTAAGTATGTTATAGTTTAAGTGTACTTCTAAAGAACTTCTAAGTCAAGAAATTGAAGTGATCTTAAAGCGAATTATTGAATGTAGCAGAGGCTTGGGCTTTTGCTAGTCAATAGGGCTTAACTTTCAAGAAGCATTGAAGATTCCAATTTTGTTAGAGTAATCTGAACAACAACAACAAAACAAAAAACCACAAAAAAAACCTCAAAACAACAAACAACTAAATGCAGATATTGTTCATAATTTCCTTTAGTTTCAGAACGCCAGTTGTAAAGAACAACTTTCTATCGGGATGTCAAATTTCTACTCCCTACAGCCAGCTCCCATATTTCCTACCACATACTCCAGCAACTCCATTTCAAAATCAAGGTGGTTTGCAGGTAACATTTTTAGGTTGTCTTCTGCCATTTTTCAGTACATATTTTCATTGGAGACTACTTCAGGTTAAATATATACATGTATGTATATTTTTTTTGATCTAAAGTTGGTGTTCATCTTTGGATGAGTAATGGAAAGTAGTCTGTATTGCTTATTCTCAAAATAACTGTTTCTTCATGTGTATGTCTGAATTTAGGTAAAATAAGTCAGCTCTTGAAAAATCAGTTCACTTGTGTCAAAATCCTGAAGCCTTTGTCTGAAATCTAAGCCTTTTCAGATCCTACTTCATGACAGAGGCAAGAACTAGAGTCACTATTTTTGTTCTGCTATGCTTTTATAGTGGTACTGCCTACTACAGTGGAGTACCCAGAAAGAGCAGCAGTGTGTGTTAGAAACCATAAGAGTCTGAGGGAGGTAAAAGAATGAAGAATTGCGTTCCTTCTCCATTTTGTTAGATTTCACAAATTTTGATGCGTTTGTAGTGGCCTGAAATAATGTAAAAATGGATTACCTTAGATGGGTTGCACATTCAGGTAGGAATTTTCTCAATTTTAGATAGAATTGGGGGATAGGTTTAAGCTTCCTACCAGAGGATTAGTATTTAAAATTTGTGGCTGTTCTACAGCTTGGTGTAGCAGGTACGGGCAATACAGGCTGTTTCAGCTTCACAGCACTGAAGTCTGTTAGCTAGTAGTTAGCTTCAAATAAAATAGTAGGTGATTTGAGTACAGCTCTAAGTTGCATGCTGTGACTGGAAGTCTCTTAGTCTCGTTTCCAACATTATCTGTAAAGAGGGAGGTGTCTCTAATGATCTGAGAAGCCTTATTAAAGAACACCCTGTTCTTGATTTCCAGTGTGAAGAGCATTGGTATCTTTTATGAGTTCAATGTTACATGCCAAGTGATGATCATTATACAAACACTTTTGCTATGGAGATCTTTAGCTTTCAAGACAAACGCATTTAAAGTTTAGCTTTACCACACTTCATCTTGTTCAGAAAGACCAAGACAACTTAAAGCATATTAACTTAATAAAAAGTAGAGCTCTACCACGTTCCGCTGCATGCATACCAATAGTTATTTTCTTAACTTTTTCTGTATGTACACAGGTTCCAGCTTCTATACCTTCACATGAATGTCTTGCCATCAAAGGAAGAGTTTATACAATATTAAAGCAAATAGGTAGTGGAGGCTCAAGTAAGGTAAGATGCTCTTTTGTCCTTTTAGACAGTCACTCATTTACACAGTAGTAGTTGTATTGTAAACATACATCTTGAAGTCATATAATGAGGAGTGCCTAGTACTAATATGTACAAAGTGTTTGAGTGACCAGATAATTTAGAAATTTGTTGTTTTAATGCCATGCTTAGAATTTAACCCTCATGGATGCTGAAGAAACATAGTGTACAGATTAGATTTGGTACAATGCTGTTTTATCTGAGTCTTCATATAGCCAGCAATAATAACTGAATTAATGTCTTATGATGAAAATGATGCTTTAGTTATTACAGGATGTTAAGCACAGTACTGTTCATTTTAGTAGGGAAATAAAGTAAAAACAGTGGGTAGATAAAGGGGGGAGTGTTGAAGTAAAGAATAAACAGTGAACAGAAATTCTGAACAGATGGGGTCAGAACACTGAACAGAAGTTACAGAAATAGGAAAAAGTGATCACCCAGCTCTCATGAGCATTTAAAAATATCACTTAAATCAGTAAACAATGGTGGGAACCAACTTCCTTTTGATTTCTGCATGAAGGCCTGAAGGTAGATTGTGTATGCTCTTGAAGATAATTTCTCTGGTGGAGTGAGTATTAAAATTCCTAATAAAATCAGCTCTCTGTTATAAGAAATGTGCTGCAGCATTACTGTACATCTTAATTTGAGAGGCTATTGTTTAGGGCAGTGTGATTACATTGTTGGGAAATGTGTGGCTTGTAAGGTTGACTGAAAGTTTCTGAAGTGGACAGACCATCCCTTATTACTGAAGCCTTCTGTAACTTGTGTGAGAAGTGGAGTTTAAGTATGACTGAAGTGATGAGTGAGCTGCTTTTTATAAGGAAAATTGGGGTCATAGGAACTTGAGAAACAGTTTTGGCAAAATCTCTTTTTCAGAAGATAAAGAATTGTAACAAAACCAACATAAGCAGTTTTGCGTGAGTTAGATTTCTCTTCTGTCTGCTTTCTTCTGTCTCCCACACCTCTGCTTCACCTGTATGCTTCTGTCTGTGAAGACTGTATTACTAGTCACAGGGACAGCCTAAGAATTTGTCTAAGGGAAATTTATATGTGCACACATTTGTTAATCCTTAGTAACAGCCTATGTAGTGCTTACAATCTGCAGCACATGGAAAGTGAAATGGTTACTTTTAGTTAATCTGAAGTATGCAGTGAAATATAAATTGGATACTTAGGTGATAACATTTCTATTTAAAACTTTTTTTTAAAGTATGCTTTTGACTTGCCAAAAATTGCCCATAAAGCTTAGTTAGAGCTAGTTTTAGAACTGAGTATCTCTAATCTTATCCTTAAGTTCAGTCCACTAAATCCTCTGGTGTTTTGTTTTAAATGCATGGATTTTCCCGAACTGGCTTTAAGTGCCTGAGATGGTACTTAAGATTGACATTGTTTTATAGCTTTTCAGTTTTTTTTAATTAAAAATATTTGATAGTTGTCATTTCATCAGTAGCTTAATTGAATGGAATATGCTCAAGCTCTCATGTTGCAATTACCATGCTCACTTAAAATAGGCTTCCTCCTTCGCAAAACTGAGGGGTGCAGAGGTGCCATCTTAAAAAGTGACAAGTATTGTCAACAGCATGTATACTTTATTGGTTTTCAGGTATTTTACAGTCCAGTAAATAGTCACAGAAAATAGGACTAGAACTTTGTTCAAATTCCCCGTATGTCTAGATTTCAAAATTTTGAACACATTTATTCATATTTATTTAGACTTGGCTTATATTTATGACCCTTTCTGCCTAATTTTTTATTTTGGTTTCATGTTTGCATAGGCAGGAACTGGCAGAACCAAAGTGGTACTGAGCAATCAAGCTGTGTGTTTTCTTGTGATAGAAGAAACAGTCTGGGTGTGTCATAAAAGATGGGAAATTGGTTTTAAATGTTGCATATCTTACATGATTCTGTTAATCCAGAGAGTAATAAATTGAAAAGAATAACAGAATAGACTATTTCAGTTGGAAGGG